AAAAATGTAAAAAAAGGCATTATAGAGGTGTGTCAGTCAGCAACTTAACACAAATATCATGTTATTTTTCCAGATTTTGTGATGTTTGTGGTATTTGTCCATTTTTTTTCAGAATTTGTAATTTGCAGCCATTTCTCTTTAGCATTCTAAATGATCACATTTGTACCTAATTTTGTATTCATCATTGTGTATTGTTTTCCTTAATGAGGTCCCTCCAAACGGTCTAAGCTTCAGGTCCTACAAAACCTGAGTCCATCTCAGGGATGTATCTTGGCTCACACCGTGGAGGCAGAGCTGAACCAGGAACCAGGTTTTCTGGATTCTGGCCCAGGGCTGTTCCCACCACAGTCCCTTGCCTCAGAGATGTCAGACAGCAGGTTTGTATAGTGCCACACACACAGTGCCCGGTGACGTGGAGATCAAAACCTGGGAGGTGATGGAAGTGGCCTTGATTTGGATGATGAAAGTCCTCTTCTTAGGAAACCTGGCCATTTCACCACAGGCCTGACTGGTCAGTCCACAAACCGGAGGATCTCAAGGGTGGACGACAGCTTAATGCTGCCCAAGTCCCCTTACCTCTCTGTGGGACCACACCCATCCCATCACTGGGAGGGGGCCACCAGCATGAAAGACTGAGATGTCCCTCAAAGCCCAAGGGTCATGGAAGACACCAGGAAGCCCCTCCTGCCACGGTGAGCAGGGAAAATCCACCTGCGATGGGGTGGTGGGGTGAGGGGCAAAGTCACAGAGCCAGGGTGCCGTTGCTGTGGGTGGAACATTATTTGGAAACAAAACAGGAAACAGACATTGTGTGGGGACAGCAGGCAAAACCAGCCCAAAAGCCACAGATGCAGCAAGGGGGCTGGCTCACCTCACCGGTCCCATCTCACACCCATGGGCTATCTCTATACCCTGAACAGATGCTGACGCAGTCACTGGTTAATGCTTCCAGGACAAGGGGCTCCCAACCCACACAGACGTTCATCCTAATTTTACTATCTGCGGTCAGGCACACACTCTTTTCTTTACTGTACCCAATCTGCCTTAGCCCTCTGGAGCTCACAGGATCTGCCAGATGACAGCTTTTCAAATATTTGAGAACAGCCACCACAGCGCCCCACCCCCCTGGCACAGCCACCACAGCGCCCCACCCCCCCGGCCCCAAGCCTTCCTTCTGCCAGGCTCAAAATCGCGGGTCTGTCGACCTCTCCTTTTCTGACATGATTTCCAGACACTTCCCTGTCCTGATTTCCCCTTTTCCAAATTCAACAACATAACTTTTAAAAACAGAATGGACCCAGCACTCCAGAAGAGGTCTGAGCAGCTCTGAAGGCAAGAACTGTCGCCCCCTTGAGAGGTATCTGACCTTCTCTTACTGTTGCCTGAGATTTGATTGGCTCTTTGGGGCTGACACGCCAATGAAGCTGGGCCTCTTTCCAATGAGCTGCCGCTGAGCTGTGACCCTGATGTGGATTATTGGGGAGGAGGACATGATTAGACACATTCTTTGTTGAATGTTGGAAGAGGAAAACCTGCCTGGGTCAGGTGGCATCACTTAGGTGGGGAAGGACTCTGGACAACCATTGAAGTCCGAGCTCAGCTGCAGTGAGGGTGGCAGACCTCAACTGGGGACTGCAGGGATGAGGAGCTGGGGGCCCAGTTTCAGACCACATGGCACTGAAATTTTAGTTTCTCTACCAGACTTGCTCTTCCTTAAACAAACCCAGCTGAAAGGGAAAAAAGATCTAATACTGCTCTTCCCAAGTGTTTCGTGGGACGGGAAGAGAGGATGTGCAAAAACTGAGTTATGGTCAAATAGGTTTGGAAAACACTAGAATAACCAAAGGTAAATTGGTTTCTTTTCAGGCAGGACTTCCCAGAGCCTTTAAAATGTTTTGTGGGGAAGGGCGGTATAGCTCAGTGGTAGAGTGCATGCTCAGCAGGCACGAGGTTCTGGGTTCAACCCCCAATACCTCCATTAAATAAACAAACAAACAAATAAATAAATAAACCTAACTACCTCCCCTCCTCCCAAAAAAGAATGAAACTTATCTGTACCCTTAAAGGTATTGGGAACCTCCTAGTCGTGGGCACAGGATGAGGCATCTGAGGATGTTTCCCACTTCTCTTGGGCTAAAACCTCTGTCCTTCCACTGGCTCAACTTGGAGGAAGCACGTTTTGTGGGTTTGTTGATTCTTTCAGCAGCTTTGTGCTCAGTCCCTGTGCAAGGAGCTCCCAGCATCACTGGAAACTCTAAGGCGGCCCCTGCCCTGGGGAAGCTTGACTCCCAGGTGGGGGGAGAGGCACAGAAAGCAGCACGGGGAGGGCTGTGTGCTGGGCCTGCAGGTCGGAGCGCGAAGGGAGCTGGAGGCCATCTCCTGCGAGCACCTCATGTCAGAGAAGGAAACAGCGACTGTGCAGATGAAGAACATCTCGGCCATGTGGCCTGAAGGTCAGTGGCACCATTTGGATGCAGGGCTCCTGACCCCGAGGCCTGCACTCCGTCTACTGTGGCATTCATGGTCCAGGTCGTGTTATCCTCTGTCTCAGGCCCACAGCTGGGTAGCCTGCTCACCACTCCATCCCCAGCAGCCATAGAGTTGGATACGAAGACTTTAAAGATCCCACCTAGCGGAGAGGGTATAGCTCAAGTGGTAGAGCGCGTACTTAGCAAGCATGAGGTCCTGAGTTCAATCCTCCTCTGAAAACAAACAAACCTAATTACCTGCGGAGATTCAGTGAGTCCGTGAAGACAGCTGCTTAAGCTCGGAGAAAGGAGTGGTCCGGCAAAATCAAGCAGGATGTAAATGGGCTTGTGTAATGGGAGGAGCCTGGACAGTCAAAGCTGGATGGAAACGGACATACCAGGTGTCAGGAGAAGGGCCTCCCTGTGGGGGTTTCATGAACTTGGCTCCGCGATGTGTGTCTACCCATCTGAGACAACACCCACGCATCTGCACGAGGTGGTTCAGGGCTGTGTCTTCCAAGGTTCATTGGTTAAAATCTTGGAGCTGAACTGAATTGACCAACTGTTTTTCCGAATCAGCCAAAGTAGCTTTTTCTTCTGGCAAATTATAACCAGAGCCATGGACCCATAATAACAATTATTATAACTGAACACTTGCCATGGGTCCAGCACGGTGCTAAGTTTTCAAGATGCATAATCTCAGTCAACCCTCAAAACGACCTATAGGACCGGTATAATGATTATCCCCATTTTACAGATTCCAAAACTGAGATATAGAGAAATTAGCACAGCTAGTGTCAGATGCCCAAGCCTTGAGCTGGGCTGGGTGGTTTGACTTCGGAGTCTTCATTCTCTTTATTGCCATTGGTTGTATTTCTGCTGTCACATCTTTCAGTACGGAAAATTTCAAACATAGCACAAGTAGAAAGAAGGGTATATAATGAATTGCCATCTTCCCATCCTCTAGAGGTAACAATTGTTGACTCATGGTCAATCATGTCTTATCTGTATTTCCATACCACCCCACCCTTCCCATCACCAAGGACTTTTTTTTGAAGCAAATCTCACGCATTATATAAATGCACCCATAGCTCTTTGAGCGTACATCTCTAAAAGCTAAGGCTGAATCCTTTCTCAATCACTACACTTTATGCCATGCTGACTGAGAAGTAGCTTAGATCAAGTAAAACCCGCCAGCAGCCCCTCCACATACACATACACACACGCAGGGGCTTCAGGCCAGCCTCCTCCCCAAACGGCTGAGCTCCCAGGGCAGCCTGTCCCAAGCCCTCACCTCACAGCCAAGCCAAACAGCCTCCCGGGGCCTCCTCAGAATGTCTTGCTGCAGTGGAAGCCCCTGCCGTCAGTCTGCCTCCTCCGGAGATGGGGAGCACCAGGTCTTCGGCTTGGT